TTCCAGGCCAGTGAAGCACCCCAACTTTTCTTTCAGGTAATTGTAAGCAGCACAAGCAGTAGATATCAACATGAAGCAGATTATTATTGTAGATCACACAGGGAGGAAAAAAGATAAAATATTTATAGCAGTGTTTGACTATATTCTGCGCAGTAAGAAAACTTGAAGTCACTTTCAAGGTCCACCATTTCGTACTTCTTTTTTGTTGGGTCAAGTTTCTAAGCTTTCTAAATCAAGCAGATGGGCTCATAGAAATGTGTGTTGTACTTCTGTTGAGCAGCATCTAAGCACCAATAGGTGTGCTGCTGCTTGCCATGGTTCAGCCTAACTGTCCTAATAACATAAGATTCTCAGAATTTGATTAGATTCAGAAGACAAATGAGTTGGAAGATACAGGTCACTTTTTTTTTTTTTTTAAACACATCTGTGTTAGTTACTCTACCAGTAATTGCTATTTCTTTTTTCTTTTAATAAATTTTTATTGATTTCAGAGAGGAAGGGAGAGGGAGAGATAGAAACATCAGTGATGAAAGAGAACCATTGATTGGCAGCTTCCTACTTGGAATCAAGCCCACAACCTGGGAATGTGCCTCTGGGGAATTGAACCATGTACCTCCTGGTACTTATGTTGACGTTAAACACTGGGCCACTGTGGCCTGGCCCAGTAATTGCTATTTGTTTTCCCCTTCCTATTTTGCTTTTCAAAAATATTTAACATTGCATATGAATAAATTAATTCAAATAAGTCTATAATTGGGTGTGATATCTGTTACATATTTTGAAAGCTAAAGGTAAAAAATACTAAATACCACACACTGCCACTTGTAGTGATTTGAATAGTAATGTTGGAAAATGCAAATTTTGTGAAGAGCAGGGTCCCTTCATTGTGATGTTCAGCCATTTGCTTTTCAAAGAAAAGCTTAACATTTGTGTTTTATGGGCTGTCATCTGATACTTTTTAGGGGGTGGTGCAGTAAATCTGTTTTTTGACATTATAGGCATTAAAAAGCAGGAAGGGAATAGTGTGTGCATGTGGAGATCATTTTACCTTTTTTTTTTTTTTTTTTTTAATAGTTTGAGGTTTCAGCCATTGACAACTACATTACTGTTTGAGGCTGAGTAGCAGACCCATAGATGTTCTCCATGTCTCCTGTGGGGGCTTGTAGATACATACATACATACATTATCTATGATGTGAGAATGTTAAAAACTCACCTTCAGTTCTCAACTCTCCTAAAACTCAAATGAAAATATAGATGCATCTTTTAAAATTGCCACTTTTTTTTTTAAAATACACTGGACTTATTTCTTTTATTTTATTATTTTTCTTTATTGATTAAGGTATTACATTTCTGTCCTTATTCCCCCCATTGCCCCCACTCTCCCGCTTGTGCTCTCTCACCCCTCTAGTGTCTCTGTCCATTGGTTATGATTATATGCATGCACACAAGTCCTTTGGTTCAGCGGTCGCTCACCTTTCGGACCTCATGGACCACCAGTGGTCCACGGAACATCAGTTGGCAGCTGCTGCTTTGGTTTCCCCTCACCTTCCCCTGCCTTCCCTCTGATGTTTGATGGTCTGATCAATGCTTCTCTGTCTCTGGATATGTTTTTGTTCATCAGTTTTAAAATTGACACTTTTATTCTTCAGTTTTTTCAAAAGATATGTGACTATATATGATATCCTAGGGTTATGGAGAAAGGCCACACTTACAAGGAGCCCCTTTCCAAGGCGGGGTTTAGAACTTGTTGGAAAGAGTAGAGATCACCCCCTGGATTAGTGGAAAATTTGGTTATTTTTCCCAGATTAGAGCTGGTCTGCATTTGAGGGACAATCAGTACAATGTGGAGTGCAGACCACCAGTAACAAGTGCCATGTTTATGCAGAGGGAGCGGGAGCTCTGTGGGAAACCTTAGAGGAGCCACCCAGATGGGCCTCCACAGGAAATCAGGGTGCCGATAAGGGCAAGGGGCCTTCATGTGCCTATAGTCGGGAGCCCCTTTCTCTCACAGTGTCCTTTCAGCACCAGATACTGGGAAAGCTTAATCACATCACAGTAGAGACACTTAAAGAAATGTTGTCTATTATGGCACTGCATATGTTGAAGAGTGAATTTAGAGTTGTCATTAAATTGATAATGGACACAATAATATTGCTTTTCCAGATTTTTTTTTTTTTTTGGCTATATAAGTGCATAACTTCTTTGCTAATAACCTTTCTGTACCTTTTATTGTATGTTTGTGTTTGCTTTCCTTCCTTTAGCCCTATTGACATTTTGAGTCAGATAATTCTTGTTTGTAGAGTACTGTCCTGCACACTGGATGGTGTATAGCAGCATCCCTGGACTATAGTTGTGACAACCAAAAATGTCTCCAGACTACCAAGGAGCAAAATCTAATCTGGTTAAGAATGACTGCTTTAACATGTTTGGTGGATTTTTTTTCCTGTTAAAAATAGTATAAATCTTTCATTTTACTATAATGTTTTTCTTGTGGTTTTTAACAAGTTCTAATTTAATAAAAGAGAGTATCTTAAATAATTATAAAATAACCTAATTCCTTGATTTCAACTATAAGTAAATTATGGTAGACTTTTCAGTTGATTTCTTTGTGACCAGGTAGCTGTTTAGTTGCAAACCTAGGATTAGATCCTAAAATTTTCAGTGAGAAGTTCTGTACATAATATTCCATTATTTGTTCTTTGACTCAAGAGCATATATTATGCATGCATTATTGTAGGTAGGTGTTAGAGATCATTAATGATGAGCAGTAAGTAAAATCTCAAGTATGCAAAAAAATTATTTTATTCCGCTATTACATTTTTGCTTACTATTTAATGGGGGAAAAAAGTACTTTTTTAAAATATATTTTTAATTGATTTCAGAGAGGAGGGAAACGGAAACATCAAATGGTGAGAGAGAATAATTGATTTGTTGTCTCCTGCACGCTCCCTACTGGGGTTCAAGCCAGCAACCTGAGCATGTGTCCTGACTGAGAATCGAACTGTGACCTGACCATCCTTGTTTATAGGTTAATGCTCAACCACTGAGCCACACTGGTCAGACAAAAAAGTAATTTTTTAAAAAGCAGTAAAAGAATAATTTATTTCTAAATGAAAGGACTGTGGTCAAATGAGCTCCTCTTAACATTATGATGCAGTTTTGTGGTTGCAGCTGTTGAAATGGTTGTGGACTTTGAATCAGAAAACCAAGCGTCTGGTCTTGGTTCTGAATTAACTTCATAACAATCTGAACAAACAGTTGTTATCTGTAAAATTGCAAAGAACTAACTGGATTCTAACTGGATTCCATGTGCTATCAGTCTTAGTGTAGTATCACTCTAGAGAAGACCTAGAGCCTGACACTTTCTTCTAGGACCAGGGATATCAGAAGAAACAACTAAGCTTTATTTTTTAAAACAATTTTGATGGCATAAGCAGGATGAATAGATTGCCAGTAAATTGGATTGAGACGAATCTAGTAGTGGCGAATATGCTTTAATACCAAACTGATCTGAAATTCTGGAGCTATTTGCTTTACAGAGATTTGATTCTGAGAGAAAGGTCATTTAAGCTAATATTCTCAGTGAGTTAATTAACAATTCACTGAATGGGGGTTGAGGGGGTGGTAAGAGATGTAATTTACTTATACTTTACCAGATAAGGGACTTGTATCCAGAATACATAAGGAACATTCAGATATAAAAAGGGGACAAAGGATTTGGTGGACACTGCTCCAAAGAAGATACATAAATGGCTAGTAATCAAATGAAAAGATGTTCAGCGTAATTAGTTCTTAGGGAAATGGAAATCAAAACTATAAGGAAATACCACTTTGTACCCACTAGAATGACTATAATAGAAAAGATGGGCAACAACAAGTATTGGCATGGATGTAGACAAATTGGAACCCATATACTTTTCTGACGGGAATGTAAATTGGTGCTGCCTCTTTGGAAAACAGTTTGGCAATTCCTCAAGACATAGGTACCATATGGCAGGTATATACACAAGAAAATTGAAAAAATTCGCATTCACACAAGAACTTAGACATGAATGTTTATAGTAGCCAAAAAGTGATAACAGCTCAAATGTCCCATGAACTGATGAATGGATAAACAAAGTGTAATATCTCCATACAATGAAATATTATTTGGCCATAAAAACGAATAAAGTTCTGATACAAGGTATAGCATAAATGAACCCTAAACACAGGCTTGGGGGGTTGGGAGTGGGGGAAGAACAGATGCAAAAGACTACATCTTAATATGATTTATTTATATAAAATTCCTGGAGTAGAATAGAGAATAGTGATTTCTGGAGCAAGGAGGACAGGGAAAGGGATTAATTATTAATGGGTATATATTTCTTTTTGGGATGATGAAAATTTTCAGAAATTAGATATTGCCACTGGTTGCTTAACTCTGAATATATTAAAAAACACTCAGTAGTCACTTTAAAAGGATGAATTTTATGGTATGTGAATTAAATCTTAGTAAAGTATGTGTGTTTTTTTAAACTAAACCTGAAAAAAAAAAATTAAGGTGTTTAATCAGTTCACATTTGTTTCAAAGCATTTCCTATAATTTTATATTTTTTGCTGTTTAATGTTAACTGTTTGGTATTGTGACTTCATTTCTTAAAGCAAGTTCTGGCTAAAATTTAGGTCATTTGAAGCGTTTGCCTTTAAAGTTTAGATAGTAGGAGTAGAGCAAAGGAAATCAAGATACCCAGTCTGATGGAGTATCCCAGTCATAATCTGTTTAGGGTTTTTCTTATGAGAAAAATGTCGATCTAGGAAGAAGAAGCAATAATATAGAAAATTAATTTTATATCTTTGTGTTTAGTTATAGAAATATAAACTTACGGGAAAAAAGTCATGTATATAAATAATACCCTTTCAGAAATTTCTAAAAGGTATAGGTTTGACAACTTTCATCTCTTCATGTGAGGTATTAAATTATAATGTTATTCACTTTTAATAAATAATTTATTGTTACAGACAGATTTGACCAGTTTTGGGCCATCAATCGGAAACTCATGGAATATCCTGCAGAAGAAAGTGGATTTCGTTACATCCCTTTTAGAATATATCAGGTAGGAAGTTACATTATTAACAATAATAACTCTCTACTCACCCCTCCTCCCCTCCTCTTCCCTCTGAGATTTGTCACTCTGTTCCTTGCTTATATGTCTCTGGATCTATTTTGTTCATCAGTTTATTTTGATCATTAGATTCCACTTATGAGTGGAATCACATGACACTTGCCTTTCTCTGGCATTTCGCTTAGCATATTACCCTCCAGGTCCCTCCATGTTGTTTCAAATGGCAAAAGATCCATCTCTTTTATAGCTGCATAGTATTCCATAGTATAAATGTGTAATAGCTTTTTTATCCATTCATCTGATGGGCATTTGGACTATTTCTAGATTTTCACTATTGTAAATTGCACTGCTATAGGGGTGCATATATTCTTTTGATTAGTGTTTCTGGCTTCTTAGGATATATTCCTAGAACTGGGATCACTAGGTCAACTGGGAGTTCCATTTTTAAATTTTTGTGGAAACTCCATACTGTTTTTCACAGTGGCTGCACCAGTGTACTAGGATTCCCTTCTCTCCACATCCTTGCCAACACTTTTTCATTAGTTGATTTGTTGATGATAGCTATTCTGACAGGTGTGAGATTATACCTCACTGTTGTTTTAATTTACATCTCTCTGATGATTAGTGACTTTGAGCATTTTTCTATATGTCTCTTGACCATCTATATTTCCCCTTTAGAGAAGTGTCTATTTGTGTCTATTTGTGTTCTTTGCCCATTTGTTTTCCTTTTAAGTTATATGAGTTACTTGTATGTTTTGGATATTAACCCCATATCAGATGTATCATTGCAAAGAGGTTCTCCCATACAAGGGGCTCCCTTTTCATTTTTTTGACAGTTTCTTTTTGCTGTGAAGAAGCTTTTTATTTTGATGCAGTCCATTTGTTTATTTTCTCATTTGTTTCCCTTGCCTTAGCAGATGTATTACCATGCATATTGGTATGAGAGATGTCTGATATTTTGCTGCCTATGGTTTCTTCTAGAATTCTTGTGGTTTTAGGACTTTTAAGTCTCTTATCCATGTTTTTTTATTCTTGTGTATGGTGTAAGTTGGTGGTCTAGTTTCTTCTTTCTTTTCTTTTTCTTTTTTTTTTTTTTTGCATGTATCTATCCACTTTTCCCAGAACCACTTATTGAAGAGACTATCTTTAACTTCATTGTATCCCCTTGCCTCCTTTGTCAAATAATAATTGAGTTAATGACGTGTATTTTGACGTATTTTTGCTTCACTTTTCTGGTCTGACAATTTGTGCTACATGTCAACCTCACTGAGCTAAAAAATTTTAAAATATTTAAGACAAAAATGATAAAGCAATTGCCCTTGAGAAAAAAGTTGTTTTCTAGAAAGAGCACTTAACTAGAAGGGGAGGCCTCTGAGGCACTGTGGGAGGCCAGACCTGACACCTCTATTTCCTCATCTATTCAATGAAAGGGGCATAGTTATTTTTCAAAGAAGCTTATATGATTGGTTTATATAATTATACCAGTGATGTTCTTATTTTTTAAAACATTTAAACTCCTAGCTTCAGAGCAGATTGATCATTTTTACAACAAACAGTCCTTTTCTTTATTGCACCTTCTGACTCAAGTCCTTATGGTGCCATATGACTTTTAATCATTTCTAAAAATGAAATTTATACTTTTCAAATGATTCATCTTTTTATGAATGCAGAGTAATAGTTTTGTTCATGCTGTGTGTCCATGGTCTAAAAGATACCTGGCATGTACTAGTAGGCTTTTGTGAGTAGTATTTGTTAATTTGTTAAGTAGTTAATTGGGGATTATTTTGTTTTCCATGATCTTCATAGTAATGTGCCATAATTCATTCCTAGAGTTTAGCAAAGTATCTTATTTGTGGAATAGTTGAATAAAACATATCAAAGATTCTGAAGACATCCTCAAAAGAACTCCCAAACTAATTTGCAATGTATACCTCCCAGCACTTGTTTGGACGGTTAGGTTTTGACATGTATATTTAACTACTAGTATACTGTGGTTTCTATATTGTAAATACATTAAACTCCTGTAGGAAAAGTGTGTTATACTACTACTTAACTTAGGGATTATTATTGTTAGAATAGTGCAGATGTACACAACAGAGATCTTCCTTTTCACATTTATCATTCATTTCTGGGGAAATTAGCTGTGTCATACCTCTTACTGTGGTGCAATCACACAGGATTTAGAGAGAAGAATATGAGAGAGAGGGAGGGGAAGAGAAAGACAGAATATGTATAAAAGAGATAATGATTTTCATAAAGTTCTGTAATTAGATAGAAAGTGGGGAGCTAGAGTATTCTCAGAATTTGCTTGAACGTGGCTGCCAGGTGGGACCTCTGTTGCTGCCTGATCTTGCCTGTGTCATGATAGTGATTTTTCCTCAAATAGGAGACAGGAATTGAGGTTCTCTACTGACAATTTATGGTTGTCTTTACCCCTTTCCAGTTTCCAGTTGCCTTTCCCTTTTCTTTACCCCTTGTTCATTGAAAGGAAATTAATTAGAAGGTGGCGGGCAGGGCAGGACTGGGCAATACGAGCCGGACATGCCCTGGAGCCAACCTCCTGCTGTCCTTTTCTGGCCAGTCACATCTGGGGCAGCACTACAGTTCAAAGAGCGTCTGCAGAGTGAGTGGGTCCCTCCAGCAGGTGAGGTGCCTTGAGGGGTCCTGGGTTGTGAGAGGATGGTTCTCAAGTGACACACCCCAGAATCGGGCTCCCTCCTCTCGTCCGGTGTGCGTCATCCGAGAACTGCCGCTACCAAGTCATAACAGCTTGGCAGCTCCTGCATTGAGCATCTACCCCCTGGTGATCAGTGGGTATCATAGCTACCAGTCAGATGGTCGGATGGTCACTTAGCCTTTTATATATGTAGATGTTATTCTAGAGGTTAAAAATAAATTCAGATAGTTCTCTCAGGAACAATGTACCAATATTTTTAGTTTGAACACCTCAATTTTAATGAAGAATGAACAAGAATAAACATCTTTAAAAAAATATGTTTTTATTGATTTCAGAGAGGAAGTGAAAGGGAGAGAGAGAAATAGGAACATCATTGATGAGAGAGAATTACTGATGAGCTGCCTCCTCCATGCCTCACACTGGGGATGGAACCTGTAAGTCAGGCATATGTCCTGACCAGGAATCAAACTGTCACCTCCTGGTTCATAGGTCGATTTTCATAAATCGACCACCACTGAGCCCCTCAAACAAGGCTATATAAATATTTTTAAATGTTCCCAGGTTACTTTCCAAAAATGTATGAATTCAGATTTCTACCAACAAGCTAGGGCAATATGCTTCTACTAGTATATCTTCACCAGCAGTAGGTGTTATAACTTTGACTTTCAGAGACAATCTCATTTTTACTTCAGTTAATATTTCTCTCACACCTCGTAAGTTTACACATCTATTCACCTTTTTTGGCCATGTGGATTTGTTTTCCTGTTTTGTATTTTCTTTTGGGTTAATCATATTGTTTATATCCAGGGTAGGGCAAAAGGTATACAATTGTAACACAAATAAATAATACAATACAATAAATAATAATAATACAGGAATAAACTATGTTTTGTGTTCTCATAACTGTAAACCTACTTTTGCTCTACTTTGAATATTAACCATTTTTCTGTAAGTCACTTTTTAAAAGTAATCACAACTATAAGATTTGTCTTGATTTAAAAAAAAAAAATACATTGATTTTTTACAGAGAGGAAGGGAGAGAGCTAGAGAGCTAGAAACGTCTGAGAGAGAAACATCGACCAGCTGCCTCCTGCACACCCCCCACCGGGGATGTGCCGGCAACCAAGGTACATGCCCTTGACTGGAATCAAACCTGGGACCTTTCAGTCCGCAGACCGACGCTCTACCACTGAGCCAAACCGGTTTCAGCTTATCCTGATTTTTAGAGTACCTTTATATTAAAAAGTTTTTAACTCTTTATATAGCCAATTATATCTTTTTCTTTGTTGTGTATGATTTCTTTATTTGTTAAAAAGGCCTCTCCCCATACAGTTACAGGTTATACATAGTTTTGTTACCTAACTTTTCTTATAAGATTGTTTTCATATAGATATAGGGTTGTGTGTGTGTGTTTTATTGATCTGGAACTTATTTTTAAATACTGTGTGAGATGTAAGGGTACAGTTCTATTTTCTTCTAGGTTATAGCTAGCTGTAATAGAGTCATTTATAATATAAATTAAAGGTTGGCAAACTTTTTCTTTAAAGAGCCAGATAGTAAATATTTTTAGCTTTGCAGGCCAGATGGTCTATGTCGCAACTATAGCATGAAAGCAGCCATAGACAATTTGCAGATGATAGGCATGGCTATGTTCCAATAAAACTTGATTAACAAAAACAGGCAAAGGGCACAGTTTGGCTTTCAGGCCATAATATATTGACTCCTGATATAAACTATCCTTTTTCTATTGGATAAAAATGCCACCTCTGTTTTACATTAAAATAGTTTGACTACTGGGATCTGTTTCTGGACTATATTTATTCTTATGCCAGCATTATTTTTATGTGACTTTAGTCTTCTGATATATACTGGTGAAATTCACCTCCTTTTTTCTCATCCTTTTCATGTTTATTCTTTTTTAGTACTCACCCTAGGAGATGCTTAGAGAGAAGATGGGGCGGGGAGAGAGAGAAAGAAACATTGATTGGTTGTCTCCTATAATTCATCCTTGACTGGGGATCAAACCTACAACCTTTGGGTGCATGGGACTAGGGTCAATCAACTGAGCCACTCCGGCCAGGCTTCATGTTTACTATATTCTTCATTCTTCTATTTGACTTTTAAAATCATTTTATTTAATTCTCCACAGTGTCCTATCTATACTAGTATAAGGGTAATATGCAAATTGGTCAGGACGCCCTCATGCAATGACCAAACAGCAGGCTGCATGGGGTGACCAGGATGGCAGGGGGAGAAGTGAAGGACGACCAAATGACGACCAAATGACTGAACAGCCTGTATGAGGCGACCAGGT